ATTCTTGAGAATATTTGCGTAACTCTTAGGATTGTTGTCCTGTCTATGTGATTTTTCATTCTTGGATGAGCTTGTTGCCCATATTTGTGGTTTTGATGAGGAAGCAATGGGCTATTGCTCCTTTTGATTACTATCAAGGACTGGTGTGTCTTTAGGAGCAATTTGCTCCCTTATTACCGAGTCTTGATCTTTTGAGACCTGTTTGTTCCTCTAAGATGTCTATTCTAATATGTAGTCTTTCTAGGTTGGCTAGAATATTCATTAAAGAATCCTATGTGCTTTTTATTTCTGGTCTTATATTGACTTCATAAGATCTATTTCTATAGCTTTATTGATTTCTAATTGGTTTTCTATTGCTTCCCGTCACAGGATATTCTTCTCTGTTGTTTCTTTCATATCTTATTCTATTGTTGCTTTGCTGTCTGCTCTGTCGCAAATTTCTGAAACTATGATAACTTGCTGAATTAAAAATAGACTCTATTGATTCATTATCTGATTGTGAATCAGGTATTGATTCATTGTCTATTTCTATATTTCTGAGCCTGAATCTTGTATTTCAATTATCAATTTTAGGATTTCGTCTTTCCATTTCAATATCTTTATCTTTACTTTATTATACTCACAAAGATGGAATTTTACAAATACTCATAATACATGATAAATATAAAAGCAGATATAAATAATGTAACTATAAATGTAAAACTACACTGTAAGAAAGATATTTGACGCTCTCTTAATTTTTTCTAAAACAATTTTAAAGAGTAATCTAGTTATTAAACCGTTATCGTACTTTAACCTGTGTTATAGATTTTAAACATTTCAGTGTGGTCTGCGAATTCCTTCTTTCACCAAGATTTTCCGACAGAAGGGTTGCCAAAATTCCCGATGTTACTTGACATCCCGCTGGTATAATGTTTACTCTATTACCAACTTAAATATAGGAATAATGGGGACGGAGTCTTACCTTCCAATTATCCCTAAAAGTTCTATTGATAAAGTTGACTTCTTCGCATTGTATATCTATCAACAAGAATTTGTATTTGTGATAGAAATCAAGGTTATTGATTGTTTCGTCAAACCCATCTTTGAATAACCCTTCAAGCGTGAAAGAGGTAGGCTTTAAATAAGTCTTGAAACCTCAAATGGTTAGTCCAAAACCACCGGTAGTAGAAGTGTAGTTGTGAATACCAATCTCCCTTTCCTTAGATAGATGAATCTGATATTCGCTGGAATTATTCCCCGCTTGCTTTATTAATTCAAGCACTGTCTATTCGTCGAGCTCATTGCAATCAGTCTTGAAAATTTTTCTAAGAGGCTTTTAGGCCAGTACTTCAGCAGTACTGGCCTTGATTTTTTAATGAGCTGCCTTACGTTTTTTTCTTCACTTGGCATGTTTGTCAACTTATATAGTATCTGGATTGTGTTATCTATTAAAATGTTTCTTTCGTGAAGTGTGACTAGTAAAGTCTTCACCACAATCAGAACATTTACATGCCTTGGGGGCGGAGGTTGTTTACGCAAAGGTTGTTTATCCTTTGGTTTACCCTGTTTCTTGTCTCTTTTGCATCTTTCTTTTTTTAGACAATGTTTTCTCTTCTTTTTAGAGAAGCTCGGGTCAAGTGAAGAAGAGAAGACTTGTTGTTTAGAGTTACTAAAACAGACAGAAAAAGCCCTGCCTATCCATTTGGCAAAGAGCTTTTTTACTTGGTCCAGCTGTTCTGCAAGTCCAAAGTACTTGAACGTAGCACCGTAGGAAAAGCTTATCTCTACAGAGAAGTTTACCATATTGTGTTTGGTCTTTAAAACTACTATCTCTCATTGTTTACTTTTTTCCTTGAGAAAATTTCCTTGTAAGGAAATTTTTAAGAAAAAAGGGAGTTATAGGAAAGAGTTTTTTTTTTAGATATTCTGTATTTTTTTCTTTAATAATTATTATATAATCTAATATAGTTTTTTATATTTTTAAACATTTGTAATTAGAAATATTGATTATGAATTTTTTCAAACACTTTATTAATATCAATATATATATCAATAAAATATTTATATATCAATATAGTGAAAAAAAAAAAAAAAACTCTTTCCTGAAAATCTCAAAATCGGAAAAAATTTCTTTTTTTGATAATTATCAAAGACAACCAAAACTCGTCCCCATTCTTCAAAAAACGGCTCATAAAAATGTCCCTTAGATACAGCTCCAGACTTGTAGGAAGACAAACAACATCGGACTACAACATAAAGAACATGTCCAGAAACAATGGCAGAACCCTCAAACTGAAAGTTACAACACCAGGCTCACAAATTAGGTACACCCCTCTCAGCAATAACTCCTGGCTAAGAAAATTCTCGACAAAGGGAAGAACAAAGCTATCGAACTTGAACCTATAAAGGAAAGAGAAGAAGGTGACTCCCAAATGACTGAAGCAACTGTGACTCTGTTAGACTCCAGACCACCTTCTCCAGCAAAAGAAACGTCCATTGAAAGCACAAAACAGGCTCCTCTCGATAGACTGCAACTTCATAGTAATATCATCGATCACGTAAACTTTAGTTATAAAAACCCAACAGATCAAAGAAGCTGAACTCTCTCTTCCTCTCTCACAAACAGAAAAACTTATGTCAAAATGCTTAGACCACGAAAGGCCTTCATCGATCCAGAACTTGTCCCAGGAGAAACACCTGAAGAAAATTTCTTTTCATCAGAAAAAAAAATGGCACACCTCAACTCTCTGAAACACGTATGATACGAATTCTCAACCGGTTACCTATAGGTAGTGGCAGTGTTCGACAATCAAGATGAGGCACAGACAGCATGTGAGATCAACCTTACTGAGAATGAGAATGCCAAACTTAGAAAGATTACCCCATTGGAATCCCAAGAAAGTAACCCATGCACAATTAGAGTTTGGGATGTTCCCCAACATTTCACCAAAACTGACCTAGCAGAATTCTTCGACAATCAAATCGGGATCGATTATATTACCCTGCAAAGATCAGGCCCAGGCCAAACAGTATGCATAACCTTTTCCAACATATCGGACTATGTAGAAATCACCAAGGAATGGTCGATCAGCAAAGGGTATTACTCATGCAAAACTTTTCCATACTACAGAATGCATGAGACCAAACAAGAAAGAGAGCGTTTTAGCATAACACTCACAATGCTACCACTAGACTTCACAGCGGCGGACCTGGCAATAACCATTACCAGTACCAAAGCAAAATCATGCTATATACCAAGAGATGACGAAAACAAGATCAAGAGATTCGCAGTATTCACTTTCGAAACACAAGCAGACTTACAAGCAGCAATATCCACAGCCCCCACTTTAAAAGATTACCAGACAAAATGGGTAAACAAAGAAACCAAACTCTGCTACTATTGCAGCTTACCATCACACAATCCTTATCTCTACCCTGACAAACCAGAGTTTCCCTCCCAAAGACAGTACATGAACAGGGCCAATAATCCGAGACTCCCCTATCTTACAACTATAGGACAACAAGCTCATCCAAGAATGAAAAATCACATAGACAGGACAACAATCCTAAGAGTTACGCAAATATTCTCAAGAAT